AAGAGATGTTCTCCTGTTACAGGACAAAGAGATGTTCTCCTGTTACAGGACAAAGAGATGTTCTCCTGTTACAAGACAAAGAGATGTTCTCCTGTTACAGGACAAAGAGATGTTCTCCTGTTACAAGACAAAGAGATGTTCGGAACAACACCTCCTGCTGTGATCTCCTACGAGCAGCACTGACCTCAGAGAAGCTCCTTCTCTTGAATTAGAGGAAACAATGAGCGTGCGTTATTAAATACCAGATGGAGGAAGCCTTTTATGTGAAATGTTATTGTTGGATTAACATTTACAGATGATTAGAAGGTTGCAACTGTAACAGCTGTGAAAACAACGGTTTACAGAATCAGACAACAGAAGAAGAACTTTCAAGTTGAAACGGATTATGAGAGAGAAACAGGATTTATCTTTTATAGAAGCAATAAAGAAAAGATGAATAGCAAGTAAAGCAACTAGTAGAGTAATAAAAATACATTTACCTGCAGCGATAGTTTAACCCTTTACTGTACAACGTGGTAGTTTGTTTATGTAATGTCTTTCTGTCTCTTAGTGATGATGACCATGATCATGAAGGTGAAGCTCAGTAAATGCTTTCATTGTTGGTGGAGGCATTAGAAGTACATCCTGCTTCACTTCTGGTCACTAATTGTGCTAAAAGGATATAAATGTTCAGCTGCAGTGAACACATTAGAACATGTTTAGAATATAAAACATGGCACCGCTGCTTTATCACTCAAACTATCACGAATGCTTTGCCTGCTTACATGATGTGTATATTGAATATATATCGCTTCATTTTCTCAGGTTTTACTATTTAAAGGTTTTGTGACTGAACAGACGAACATGCTGAAGCGATATAAAAGGAGAAGCTGTTTGGTTATTAAGTGAAATCCAGTTCAAACCTTTTCAAGTGGGGCAGCTGCACATGTTGGGAAGATAACTTACATTGTGCAGCGTATGGATAACGGTGAACTTGAAGCTGTACTTAGAAAGCAGTGTTTTCACAGAGGCATCATGTTGTGCTGAACACGCTGCACAGAGATGGTGATGCTACAGCACGAGGCATCACGTACTTAGAGTCGGGCAGGTCGGCATGTAGAGAACTTTAGATTTAAGTCAAACTATGAACGAATCTTTCTGACCTGTTGGATTTACAGCAGAATCATTGCTTAAGTAACTTCTATTCTGTCTTCTTGTGTTCATGGAAATAAAACTGACGGAATGCAGTGATGTATGGAGACTCTACTATATTAACTGGACCTTTGCACTGTTTCTGTGCAGATCCCAAATCCCAAAGAAGTTCCAGAATTCCCACTGATGGTAAATCTGTTATTACATATTGCATATGTAATGTGATTAGACATATACATGTTTAAACTTTGCCTGGAGGAGCAGTGATCTGGCACAGCATGAAGCCGGCTGCCATGGAGGCTGGAGACACAGAGGGCATCACTTCTATAGGACTGTTACAGCAGCTGATCAGCGAGTTGAACCAGGCGGGAGGAAGTAAACCAGACAGATCACCTGGTGGAGCCCGAACCTACAAACTGTCTGACCTCTAAAGCACAAAGGCTTCACGCTCCGGATTCACACTGAGCTGAGCTCCACTGTGTTCAAGTTACTTGCGATCATCATCCGACAGCACAAGCCATTCAAACGGGAGCATTCAAAGGCCTATTCTTCTCTTTCCAAAGCAGCAGACGAGAGGCTTCACAGAGTCAAAGCTGCAACGTCTCGTCCTGGTTCATCGCAGCCGATCAAAACTCACTCGCCTTGTTACCGTTCTATCCTCCTAATAATAGAGCATTTGCATATCTGACACAAAATGTATTACACTTTCAGTGGCTCATTGTTTATAGACATGTATGAGATGATTGCAAAATGGGAAATAAGACTGTAGCATCGACTTAATTGGATTTCTTATCTAGGCATTGTGCGCATGATGAAATGGAGAATGAGTGTGAATGTTGAAGTTATGATCCATGCGGGGTTTAACTTTGGTTCTTTTGGTTATTCAAACAATCTGATGGAGATATATCTAAAAGTGAGACACCAATAAAAACACCACCAGGAGCTCCAGTTATAGGCCAATGCAAAGACAATTTGCATTAAAAAAAAGTCAATTGTAAAATCATGTAATGAAGTCTTTAACTATTGATAAAGTGTCACTGACCCGATATAAATAGGCCAAAAACTTCACCAGGAAAAGGTAACCGGGACCTCCTTCTTGGGCCACACCTGGGAGGGGAGTTCGCTGGTGAGCGCCGCCCTGTGGACCCACCACTCTCAGGGATAGGCATTGGGGTTTAGGTGCATTGCAAGCCGGGCAAAAGGCAAAGGCGGGGACCTTGGTGGGCCGTCCCCTGGCATCGCAGCCTAGGGACGAAGGACCTCAGGGAAGAAACCGGAGCTGGTGCGGGAGATGGAGCGGTATCAAATAGATAGCTCACCTCACATGTTCAGGGCAGTTGTGGCTCCGAAGTAGAGCGGTTCGATCCCCGACTCCTACAGTCCCTGTTGATGTGTCCTTGGGCAAAAACCCTAAATTGCTCCCGAAAGCTGTGCCTTTGGTGTGTGTGGTGGGGGTGGGGGGGTTAGTTAGTCCCTTGCAGGGGTGTTTCTAGGATTCAAAGAAAGGGGGGGCTTAGCCCCAAGGGGAGCGGCATGCTTGCAGCAATTTTTTTTGGGGCCCATTTGGGGCCGTGGATGTCCATTGTTTCAGACAGTTCATAGATTGGTTCAATCAGAAAGAGTGTGATTCTGCTCTGTAGGTTTGCTTGCATTCAGTATATGATAACACAAGAGACAGCGTCACTCCCAAATCCTGATTCTTAAAGGGACCGCACACAATGGATGGAGAATGGACCTGACAGTGACAACTTTATATCGTTGAGTATGATGATAGGCTATTGGATTGTAATTTGAAGGGGGAGAAAACATACAAACCAGAACGCACGCACATATGTAGCATGTTAGAGTTATAAATAACTTGTCCATGTGAGAAACAATAGTTTAATTTAATGACATCACCAAAAAAAGATTTTTTCTTTTTTAAAGCCAATAATGCCAAATTATTTGGGGGGGCTGAAGAACATTTTAGGGGGGCTTAACGATGCCCCTGGTCCCTTGCATGGTAGCCCCTGCCATCAGTGTACGAATGGGTGTGAACGGGTGAATGATGACATGTCGTGTTAAAGCACTTTGAGTGGTCTGAAGACTAAAAAAGCGCTAGACAATTAACGGCATTCAAATAACACCAGACTCCAGAGGTAGTCTTTACTTTGCTCGGCTTCGACCTTCGTCACATCACAATGTGAGTTTCAATCAAAGCGTTCGTCAGAAGAAGTCGACACTGGCTTTTGTTTGTGCTGTAAAGTGTTCACAGCGAGTCGTCTGGTATCGTTCTCAGGCTGAGTGAAGCAGAACCAGTTAACAACGGGAGAAGAGTTGCTTTAAAAAGGACAAAAGGCAACATGTTGTCAAGGCCGGAGTCAGATTTCCTAATGTAAAAAAAAAAGAATACGGTTACCGAGGCAACTGACGATTTGGTAGTGGCGAGCAGGCGGTTAAGAAGACGACCGACGTCTATGAAGGAGATGGAGCTCTTCATCACACGGCTCCGTCCTCTTCTTCTGCTCCACAGAGAGACTTTTAAAGAGCGAACGACTCAATGCTGGACTAGAGTCCATCATCTAGTGAAGTTCTTCCTGCTCATGATCATCACACCATCTTATAAAAGCCTTAAAGATCAATTACCTGAAAAGTACAACAGAGAAGTCGTGCTAAGACCAGATGCAGTTTGAATAGAACGAGCCTCCATATGAAGTATAGACGTGTATCAGCAGGATTCAGACGGTTTCCCTTCATCATGAACAGTTTTGATGGATTTAAGTTAAAACCTTTTAGAGTATAAATAGTTTCAATGGCAGAAGACAACAAAAAGTAATTATATGTTTGATTCGTGTTACAATCCCAAGAACTTTGAGAACCTCTGGTCCAGATATTAGACACATGGGCTCTAAGGCATAAAACACAGAAGACATAATTAGACTCACCGAGCTGTCTGACACGTAGCAGTCTACCGGTAGTCTCCGCCCGAAAACAATGAAGTGAGCAAACTGTTTCCCTGCAGAGTAACATGTGGAGGCCGGCGATGCTCTCAGCGAGGGAGGAGTCAGCAGCCGGTCAGTGTCGGAGTATAACCGGTGAATAAAGGAGTTCTGATGGAGGCTCTGAACCCACCAGAGCTCAGAACATGAAGCAGCTTTAATTGAATTTGTCTCTCTCACTGGTCTGCAACAAAAATCTGCTTTAAAAAGTTTTGCTCAACTTTGGAAAATGGCGGCCATTTTGTCTTTCTGTTGCGGGTCGTTAACAGTTTGAAATGCGTCACAATGTTTCTCAATCTGATTTAAATTGATTTAAACAAAAACAGCTGGAGAGACATCTGTGAATAAAATCATTTAGTTCTACTCAAAAATAAAGCTTCACTTTGAATAAACAAGACATTTAAAGTGGTAAATTAACTGCAATGTTTTACATAAAGAAAACTTTATTCCAAAAAGAAATGGGTATGAAAATAGCACGAGCATCATCACCGCATTGTAGATGCTGCAGCCAGAAGAGATAAAACCAACAGGACACCGACTATCCATCTTATGTCTGTCACACACGTATGAAAGAAGTGCACAGCTGAGTGTTGAGTTCACAGAGAGGCAGATCAGGAGATGATACATGTCAACACAAATTAAATACAGCTTAACTACAGAATGAGACAAATAACACAGCAGTGGATAAAGTGGCTCATAACAGAAAAACATCTTCTCTGCTGATCATCTCTGTTCAGGCAACAATCCAAACAACAGATAATAAGCGTAGCTGTGGCTCATAGTGAGGTTATTAGGAGCTGGTTCAGCAGTAGGACAGCACTGAAGGCCCAGCTATAAGATGCACGGCCCACCACTGCTGCTCATGATGACATGATTATCTACAGATAGCAGCCCGTTCATCTTCACAGCCTGTGTTTTCATCTTTCCAGCATCTCCATCAACTCCTCTGACAGGATGCAGAAACGTCGACGTTAAACCTTTCCGTAGTTTGCAGAAACGTAAATAATGCCGACGCCTTCTTTCTGCTAGATTCCTTAACTGCCATCGTGTAATAAGATCTGACTGAAGATGTGAGAAGAATGAACGTTTTTCACAATAACTTGACCTTTTACATTTGAGTCTAACTAAAGAAAACTAGAGTGACACATGAACCGCTGTGTGTTTGAGACACGACTGCCTGAGCTGAGCTGACAGTCGGTGTGATGTTAACAGTCGGGCCGTGTCACACGTCTCCACCTCCTCTCAGTCAGCCGTCTAATGAAACACTAAAGTGTGTGTTTGATCAGGTTTCATGCTTACATGCTGAGCTATTGCTAAAGTTAGCAGCACTTAGGATAACTTATTGCATCGCCCTTCATCTGTCAGCAGAACGCGGTGACATCAGGGCTCCACAGAGCAACCAACCAATCAACACTCAGCAGAAACAGGACTTTAAAAAAGTACTTTAAAAGTACAAAAAATGACTGTAAAGAAAAAGACGGTGAGACAGAACTGCTGTCGATGTTTGAGGCGATGAACACATGAACTATGATTCAGTCTGGTTCGTCTGCAGGCACATTCGGTGCATCACACCAACGCTGGAGGACTTTATTCTTCTCCTGTTAATAATAATAATAATAAATCATGAGCGTCCAGCTTCACATGTATCAGTGTGAACGCAGCATCCAGCATGCATGTGGATGCTCCACAATCCAAAAGCTAAACTTTATATGTAAGATATTTATTTTACTCCTTAAAAGGAAAAAACTTCGAACTACTAATCTGTGCACGAGTTGCTCTCCCTGCGTTACCTTTGTTCTTTAGTGTCTCGCCTCGACGGAGAATCAAGAAAACAGAGAGAAAGTTTGGATGAATTGACAGAAAGAACTTCCATATGAAGAGTCCCTCTCGTGTGCAGGACTCGTGTTGACGTGTTGTAAATAGATTTTAGAACTCATTGCTGCTTAGGAAACGCTATTCGCTTACATACAAGAATAATAAAGAAATGTGGATTCTTTTCTCATAATATAATCAAAACGAACCGAATATCGATAAGGAACCGGACCAATAAGAGTTCTAGTGTCGATAAGATCCTGAGGATATCTATCATACTGGGATTATTCTGCACCAGTCGTGTGAGAGTTAACGGACAGTTTCTTGTACTTCTGCTGTTGTGAAACCAAAAGGAGAGTAACTGAGACACAGATGGTCATTATGTGGGTGAAGGATTCTCTTTAGGTTGCCCCACCTCTACGTTACTGTCCTGTATGTGCAGTATCAGAACATATACTGTAGTTATAGGGTTGTTTAAACTTGCCTGAAAACATAAATGACTGGGCACATACTGGAAATATTTGGCACATATACTGAATATAGCAACTATAATGACAATAAAAGAATACAGCTCAAAAAAGGGATATAAAAAGTTCCACGTAAGCAAACTGCCAAAAGGCCAAAGAAGTAGCCTTCGTCTTCGTCAGGCGGAGGTTATTACCAGAGGTACATATGTATTTGTGGGCGGGGCTACACTAAGGCAGTTCAACGGTTGCTAATGCCAAATTTAAAAACACACAGAAATCAAATTATAATACAGTCTTCAGGGTTTAAATGTCTATTGCATGCAAACAAGAGTCCAACAGAGATGAGTGATCCTGACGAGTGGGATTATCATATTTGTGTCTACAGCAACAAATGACACGCGTTAAATTTAATGTGGGCATCCAGCAGAACCGAAAGGTTGTTAGTTGAACTATTCGTCTATTCACTTCTTCTAGTGTGTGTTAAGAGCTCTGCTGCTGTGAGAACAAGTGTAACATCTACAAACAATACGACTTGGATTACACGCGTCGCTGCCTTTGTTCCCTCTGAGGTGTTTCAACCTCCAGTCTGTGACAATGCAGCTGCAGATATGAGAAACTGCTTCTGTGATGTCCGCTGTCTATTATTATTCAAACCACGAGTTGGTATTTTTACAACATCCCAAAAAACCTCCACAGTATATTGTGGAAAAGCACAGGCATGTGTCAATCAATTATTACTCACGATTGAAAAGGAATAGTGAGACATTTTCGGAAATACACTGAGAATACTAATCTTATGTTTGTATGCTAAATATGAAGATAGTAGCCTGTTAGCTTAGCATCATTTGTTTGCTCTGTCCAAAGATAAAATAAATTAAGTGTATCTCAGAAGACACATTATATTGTATGTTTAACCTGCATTAAAGACATTTTGTAACCTTACGAATGGTTCAGGCTTGTTGTTAGCTCGTCTTTAAGCTAGCTAAGCTAACGGTTGCTGTTTTAAAGGGACGATCTAGTGGTTAGCTTCGATTAGCAAGACAACAGCTAGCCTGGCTCTCTCCAAAAGGTAAAAATGTCACCACCTCAACCATTTAAATCCAGGAGACAACCTCCAGTTTTGAAAAGAGAAGTCAGTGCTTCAAGTGTTAAAGCTGCATTCTCTCTAGTATACGTCTCTCCTCCTCAGTCCAAATATGGTCACTTCCTGTTCACTGGTTTTGCTAGCCAAAATTAGCATCCAAATAAATATCGCAGTTAATGTGAATTACGGATGCACCTTGCTAACTAAGCTAACTAGCACAAGTGTAAGCTTGTAACTAAGCCTTTGTTACGCTAACGATAGCTCATCCCTCATCCAAATATGATCGCTTCAGGATAAGAAAGGATGGCGAGGCCAAAACTTCAAACTGGTGACGTCACGGTGGCGTCGTTCACTTCACATATTTAGTGTAAAGGTTTGAGAGTGGTGTCAATTTCTTTCTTGGAGAGGAAAGCCAATAAACGTATTTCTTAAATTATCCCACAACTATTCCTTTAAAGTGTCGTTGAGACTATTGGTGCTGGATTGACTTTTACAACCACAGCAGTCAGATCTGTGTCTGTACTCACACACAAGCATACATACAGAAAATTATATCATAAATGATGCCAACAAAGCACATATTATTCTATCTGCCATCAGGTTTATTCTTCCCCGGGAACTGATTTATTTACCACACCGTACAGGGACACCGATAGAATGAGTCGTGCTTAATGGCTCAGAGTCAGTAGAAGAGATAATAAAAACAACAAATCTGTTTTATAAACCTCAAAGCTCTGAATGAGAACAGCCATAATCAGTCAAAGCCATAAATAAATCATTATTCCCTGATTATTGTATAGCAGGTAGCATCTACCCCTCCAGAGGAAGGCACTATGAATGGTTTCACCGTCCTTGGATTTTTTTCATCGAATGGATTTGACTGATGGCTGGATAATAAACGGTACAAACGCAAGTCATCGGCGGACGTCTTTGTCACGTCGTCCATCCCGTCCTGAAGGGAATCAGTATCATGAAACCTCTCGATGGTAACGGCTGCAGGTAGCACAGGAAAGAGTTTTATTTGGTGTTACCTTCTTTTTTATTATTATTAATTCCTTCCTGTCCTCCCGTGGTGGGCTAAAGGTAGAGGTATCCCACCCAGTACACGATGTTGAACAGCAGGAAGGAGGTGGGGAAGAAGACGCGCGAGTACGCGTCCAGGTCCAGCAAGTCCACATGGACACGTCCTTTCCTCCAGCCGCCTCCTTTACACTCCTCGAAGCAGCAGAAGAAGCTCTGGCAGTCTTTCCCTTCCAGACACTCGAAGACACAAGCGTCCTCAAAGTCCTGCCAGTACATGGAGTTATTCAGAGCGATGACGGTGTGAGGAGGAGGTCTCACATCCAGGACAGAGTAGTTCTGAGAGGGGGAGGAGAAGGAAGAGGAGGAGGAGGAAGGAGGAGGAGAAGAACAAGAAGAAGGAGGAGGAGAAGAGGAAGAAGAAGAACAAGAAGAACAAGAAGAAGGAGGAAGAAGGAGGAGGAAGAAGAACAAGAAGGAGGAGGAGAAGAGGAAGAAGAAGGAGGAGGTGATGGAGGAAGAAGAAGAAGAAGAAGAAAGAAGGAGGAGGAGGAGAAGAGGAAGAAGAAGGAGGAGGAGATGGAGGAAGAAGAAGAAGAAGAAAGAAGAAGAAGAAGAAGGAGGAGGAGGAGAAGAGGAAGAAGAAGGAGGAGGAAAAGGAGAAGAAGAATATTTCAGCAAGAATTTCAATATCTCTCTATACATCCTCCCGATGGAAGGCCACCTCACCGATCGTTTGGGTTCCATGCAGCTGGGTCTCCGGGTGCTGTACGAGTAGTAGTTTAAGGTGGCATACTCCATCAGAGCAGCGAATACAAACAGGAAGCAGACGGTGACGAAGAGGTCCATGGCAGTGACGTAAGACACTCTGGGGAGAGACGTCCTGGCCACGCTGCTGAGGGTGGTCATAGTCAGCACCGTGGTTATACCTGCAGACGACAACGAGGGAGAAATCACCCGAAGCACCGATCACAGGAACTACAGGAGAGGTTCCTCCTAACGAACATTTTACTAAAGAACGAGCGAATAGCAAAGAGAGCTTGAAGAACGCTTATATTCCAACAGTGTTTTGGTTTCTTATCTTGAAGAACATTTAACTCATTAAGTTGGTACAGTCCGCTCTTGTCTCCTCATCTCCTCCGTCCTCCTGCCTGTGACCCATAAATCAATCTGTGCTCGTCTCGAAGGACCTCTCACTTTCTAAAATGCATCTGGGGGGGAGAGGAGAGAGGAAGCACAAGGTGTCTCCTTCGCTTTTCAGCCCTCGAGACACATAAAGAGTAATTATATATAAGTCTTCATCATCTGAAAGATAAATAAATATAAGATCATAAAACACAGCTGAATAAACAACGGACAGCTGGTATTTAACCGACATCTCCGAGGCAATGATGTCTCATTTGTTAAAAGCTTGTTGCCTCGACTCCTCTCTCCTCTCTCCTCTCTCCTCTCCAATAAACGGACACAAAGGGACTCCGACATATCTACGTAATGATGCAGATCTGTAAAAAGTCTGAATTCATGTTTTGTTAGTTCTCTCCGCAAGACGACAAGCAAATCACTTTTCACGTTTTCTGAATGGAGTTTGGATCGATCGGTGCTATGCTAAGCTAACATTGTAGCATAACGTCATCATAACGTAAATACGGCATCGTTGTCATCATTGTTTGTACCATATGGTTTATACACACACATTTATACACAAAGCTTCGTCCGGTCTCTTAGCATGAGACACAAGAAGAGGAGGCGAGGAAAGGAAAGGAGGATGTACAGACTGAGGAATGAGAAGAGTGAACCTGTAAGCAAACAGCTGCTGGTTTAACACCCAGCAGACACGGAGCAGTCTATTAGGATTACTAGCATTGATTAGAAGTATCTTCTTTGGTCACCAACAAAAAAGCACGTAGAATAATCTCTTGCTCTGTTTTTGGTCTCCACCGAGCTATGACAGAAATACCAGCAGCTGATGAATGCTGAATGTTCACCAGCTCGTGGCTTACTATGTCTGTCTGCTGTGTGGTAGCGTATAATGATTCTAAACTCTTAGTCGGGGACACGAGAACAAAACAGAAACATTGTGAACCATAAAACCAAAACAATGAGCTAAAAGATGCTAAAACGTTGTAGAGCCGAGACGTGTAATAACTCTCCGTTACGACTTCTTTCACATTCAACATGAAGTCATTTGAATCCGTTCTTAATGTAAACCTATTGATTAGTAGAGCTTTAAGGTTTATGGTTAATAAAAAGTAACCTCATCTTGATCGTAACACTTAGCAGCTGACATGTCATTGTGACTACCAGATGTTTTTGATGTGAGAGGAACCTGATGTCATCCTCCTCCAGGAGCGTCACAGAGACGCCACAGAGACACAGAGACGCCTGTTTCACTGAGGTTCCCATGGTAACAAGCTGGCCCATCTATTTCAGGCGCCTCACACTTTCCCGTGAACCTCTGCTCACCACAGCGATCACACTCACCGGCCTCCTGCAGGTCCTGTGCCACACATTTGAGATTTTGAACAATAGAATGAAAAGCATGTTTGAAGAGAGACGTTTGTATTTACTGACAGGCAGCTTAAAGTGGAGCTTAATGTCAGTTTCTGTGTATAACGTGTCCAAGGGCCCAACGTATGAGACCGCTTATCTAAAACAATGTGTGGGTGATGACTTACTCCTGAGCTACATTAGCATGCTAACTATCTGTTATTAAGGTTTAACCCTGAGCTACGTT